CAGTTGCAAGTCAAATACAATCATATCAATAAACCATATAAACAAATAAAATTAGAAATTATACATTATAAATTAATAATTGCCTTAAAAAAACCACACTATAATTTTGCATAAAAAAAATTGGACATGGAAATTGGAATATTGGACATTGAATTCTTGGTAGAGATCTCACGGCTCATGCAGCCTTAAACCGTGTCCGGAGGCACGGGATTGGTTGACGAATTAACATTTTCATTGGTCCCGCAGTGAAAGCGGATATGGATATTATCAGAATCGTTCGTGCAAAAATATCGGAGAGCGGAACGGTTGAAAGAAAAACTAGAAACTGGACCATTAAAAAAGTAATTACTGAAACGAATAAATAAATAAATAAATAAATAGTCACATAGCGACATTCCGCGACTGATAACGTCGTCAACGGGATTGGAAACAGGAAAGTGAGAAGTTACGAGGCGGCCGCGTTTGATGATTCTAGTCAATGGAACGATTTGTTTGCATGCCTGTTGCACGCCGGTGATCAAACGAGCGAAGACCTTTCATTTATCGTCGAGGGAGCGTGCAGCGCGACGTTCCGTTTGTTTTACGTAAAAAAAGAATAAAGAAAAAAAGAGGAGAACGTTACCAGCTGTATTATACCGTGATCGACGATCGATTCGTTCCTTCCGAGGAATCTAGTCGAACTTGCGTAACTGTATTGTCATAACTAGATCTTACGGTTTTGTTACGCAACCAGAAAACTAGTACCTCACGTCGTCCTTTCTATCCTTGCGATCTAATCAATTCTCTTGCTGTTCTCTCTGTGTCCTTGTTGCGGTTTGTGTCCATATGCTACTCGATGAAACCGTACCTGTCTACCCTCATTCACTAGCTCGTTTCATCGATCGTTTCGCTTGCAAGATTTGAGAAATTCCTTTCTCGCTGTTCATCAATGACCTAAGGGCTAGTGGGATTCGCACGAGTATAACTAAATAATTTAACGAGTAATTGAGAAATTTCGGTCATCCTGTTGTCTTAAAGTGTTTTACTGAAATATTTTGATAGGGGAGACTAGCCAGGGATGGGACAGAAAATTTTTGCAATAAACAATTTTGTTTATTAATTAATTAATTATTGATGCTAGCCAAAAATGTTTTGAACAAAAGTTGTAGGTATTGAAATTCTCTACAAGAAAGGTTCTATGCATTTTTCTTCTAACTCCAGTATTTAATGAGTTAAGTGCAGTTAATTGGCATTTTATTGGCATTGACGAAATCTGGCCATTCCACCGTCCAAACAGCAAACTTTTGACAAAAAATTTCGTTTTTCCTCAATAACTCCTAAACCGTTGGAGATGCGGGAAAATTGCATAGGACCTTTCTTATAGAGGACGA